AGCGCCTTTTTTCAGGACGACTGAGGTTTTTTTCCCATCTCTGCAGGAGAAAAGAACAGGAGAAAAAAAGGTAAGCTTCAAGGGACTTCTCCACAAGATGTTGTCAAAACTACTTAAAATGTTGTATTTTACAAGCGAAAACAGAACAGTAAATGCATTTTGCAAACGCAATCAAATTCTACGCACGTAGCTGGGATTCTTTTGTTTAAGGCGAGGAATGACTTGCTCAGAAAGGAGGAACGAGGAATTATGCGATAAAGTGTACTGGAGAATGATACACAAAAGCGGAAGAGATTAACAACTAGGATAAATACTATGTAAAAAAGCACCAATGTAGCACTATTTAGACGACCCTTCAATGAAAGGCCAATACATCAGATAACAAGAAATAAAAAAACAATGGCGCACTTTAAAAAACCTTCGGGCGTCCTCGCATTATGCGTTCTTGCGCAGAAGCTGGAACGTAACGAGGAAGCGAATCAGGCATGCGTGCACCAGTAAACTTATTCATTATCATCAGAATAAAAAGCACTTAAACACACCTGTGAAGAAACCCATGTGCTTTTATAGTAATACAGAACAAAAATGCGAAAAAACAGCTGCCGGGCCACAAAATCCTGGACAAGCATGGCAAAGAGAGAGACTGTGCGTGCGTACTTTGGGACGAAATGAAAACTGCCAGATCCTCAAGGTTTCAGAATAAATCCCCAGTTTTTACTCAGATCATTTCAGCCGTAAAAGGTATGAAGTAAACAGATCGGGAAACAGTTGGAAGAGCAGTCCGATTTTTTCAAAAAATGCGTAAAAGCCCCACGGAACGAAAAGGCAGCCATTCCACTCCTACACTTCTCCTCCTTACAAGCGGACCCATGGGCAGAAGAATTCCTCACTTTCTCCCATTCTTTGAAAAAACTTACTTTTACAAAAGACAACTTACACTACTGATGTAAGGAGCAGCAAAAATTTTAAGCTATGTGCAGTTCTGCTAAAGCCGAAGGTTCCTGCGATTTCTACCTCGTATTCGAACGTGACTTCGTCAGACCACATCGATGCAGCTGTTTTCTATACCAGCTAATGTTATTTAAAGACAGCTGATGACCGCTGGACGCCAGAAACGCGAGCAAGATGCAGCCATTCTAATGGATATTGTTTTCGCCAACGTGATGTTGTATAAAATAATTGGTGAATCGTATTTGTGTATATATATATATATATATATATGTATACATACATATACATATATATATATATATATATATGTTATATGCATATGCAGATGTACATATATGCACATACACATATGTGTACATCGCTAACATCACTGTTATTAGTATCTTAAAAATACAAACAAACAGGTACTTAAAATACTCTGCATTTCTTCCCCAAACCTAGGCACCAAGGTGCAAGTTTGTTGTGATGTCGCAATAACACACCGGTGCAGCATATTTCGTGAAAATCAGTGCAATGAACAATGAAAGGAAGCTGTGAGTAAGACACCACGAGAACAGGAAAACCTGAATGCCCATATGCTACAAAGAAGCAATGCTCATATGCTACAAGAAAAGACCCTGAATTTGAGGAAGTGGAAAATAGGAACGGGTAGAGCTAAGGCCAGAAAAGTGAACAAACCAACCTAAGCTATCAGTGTCCGTAGTGGCATCAGCTCTGTTGTCATGCTGTCGCTGCTGTTCACAAGCCTCGTCGCCTACAGCCTTCAAAAGTGAGTCATTCTGATCGTTTGCTGACGATGATGGAATACAGTGGGAAAAATCGGAATCATTCGCATTCTGGAAAACATTGTGATAAAAAATTCCCGTTACCTGCAACGGCCGCTCGAGGCAAAGAGGAAAGTTTGAGCTGGCTGCGTGTCAAGGCTAGAGACAAAAAATGGACGAATGGTACCAACACGATGTGGCGACAGTGACAAAGTCGAAAACTACCACATGAAAGATGGACTGTAATTTGGTTAATGCGGTAGGCTTAAAAGTGAAACCAAATGCTCATGGCAACTAAAAATACCACTCATTACAAAGCACGCTGCTCACCACAACTGCACTGTCGAGCGACGCGCAGCTGTGATTCGGACACAAGAAATCTTCCCCGGTCGCTTTATTTAGATGTTACAATTTGTGAATGCATAACTTCCATGGGTCATTTAAACCGCAGACTAGATCACAATGAACAGGCGTACCAGCGATGTTCAGCACAAGCAATGTACCATCAGTCAAATGACCACAGCAGAAACAGCCTTCATAAAACGACGCACTTACTAGTTCACAAGCACAGAAAGCTTTTCTATGTTTGCTTCCCAGAGGTGAACATATTATTATTTGACGACCCCCCTCCCCATCCCTCTCTTCCCCGTTTACGTCAAGGAAA